GTTCCCCTTTTATTAACACCCTGTATGAGTACTTTTAACGCATGATTTTTTTTACTTGAAAAAATATTACCAACTGTATGACAAAAATGAAAGCATATTTCTTTCGTTCATCACAATGAAATTTGTTGTAAATAATGAAGAAAAGGATCTATGAGGTATATTTGAATTCTTCTAACGCACAATTTTTTCGTTTACTAAAATGAGGTAGCTAACGATATCAAATGGATAAGAATATACTCATTTCGTTTATCACAATTCGATTTGTTGTAAAGAGTGGGAACGGGTTCTATTCGAGGTGTTTTTCATTTTTTTACTGGGAAGTTGGTCGTGTGGATTTTTCGAGTCGCACCTAGATCACTGCAGAGTACTGATATTTGATTCTGCATAAGAAACTACTGAAACGATTTTGCTAAAAACCTTATTAGTTCTAAGTTGCGCAATTACGTCTCGAATGCAGTTTGTTCCACGTCAATGTCATTTTTTGTTCTCGAGATAATCAATGCGAAAAATAATTGCGAACGCACATACGTACATATACACACACAGACGTCTACTGGAAAATTATCGTACTCGACTCTGGGGACCATAAAACGTGGATATATGTCAAAATTCGGGATTCGAAAAATCGGACTGATTACTATAACTTCCCACTGGGAAGTTAAAAAAGTATCTCCGCAAATTTTATAAATATGTTGTGACGTTATTTTTTGGATAACGTTTCATTGACGTCTCAAAGAATAATATAATTAATATGGAAGGCTAATCATAGCCCACTTAGTTTGCTCTAGCTATTTTTTACGTGTTGCTCTATATTTTTGGAGCTTTCAGGAGCTATTTCACTGGTCATTACAATAATTGTTCACGTTGTGCTTAAAAGATTATTTTACCCGATTATATACTTTTGTTAATAATTATTCATTTCGATTGTTAATTTAAAATATCATTATAAAAGATATTTAGCAAGGTTAGAAGATTATATATGTAATTCTGGTAGTAGAAAAAGACTCAATAGGATGAGGAGGAGATGGTAGGGGAGAAGAAATAATCATTTGTGGAGTTGAGAACCATTAAGTGGAGATTGGATTGCTAACGTGGAGTAGAGGGCTAAACGAAACGTTCCACCCGTTAGATGATCCATGCTAGGAGACGTTCTAGCCCTATGAGTTATCATCATGCGATCAGGTCCAGTAACGTGGCACTCCAATAGAAGAGGTGTGGAATGTGCATTTTAGAGATTTTGTGAACAAATTAGATTTGAGTTGGAGAATTAGCTATAAGTTTGCAGGCCTTGTAGGGATAGCCTGATCAACTTTGCCTCCAAGGGAGCACCTAGGTTAAAACACCCTTCCACAAAGAAATCTCGGAGAGATCACGTGATGAGAACTACTAATGGGGACACAATCCTACAAATCAAGAAATACCTATGCTATTGGAGGGGGAATATGATAAGACATCGAACAATCAAAGAGGGAAAAATAGTAAGAATTGGGCTTTCGAAGAGGCAGGAGTTTGGCGTTTAGAGCAAGAAGTAAGATTTCGGCTTTTGGAGAGGAGAGTTAGAAGTTAGCTATTGAAGAGTGAAGATGGAAGAAGCGAGTGAAGGTTGAAGAACTTGAGCAAGTTGAGAAGGAAGATAGCAGACAGTAGAGACATGGCGGACCACATGGAGATCCTTGATGCAGAGAGGAGGTTCTAGTTTATCCGGGAACCAGTTGAGACGAGATTACGACATCTAAGTATCCTCTGCTGCTCATGTAAGTCGTATTGAGTCCAACTTTTGGTAGGATTTTCAGTAGTTTGGTAGTTTTCAGCAAAGATAATGAAAGATAATTGATCTTCCACCCTTGGTTTGCTCTCGTGATTAAGTCTAGTCAATAAAATCAGTTGAGAATATAACAGTTAATTGGGGAAATATTGATTATTTTGCCTCGGGTTTTAGAGAAAATTATAAGATAGAACTCGATTGTATTTATCTTTGAGTCATTTATTGAGATTGAATAATGTATAAAGTTTTGTAAAAATATTTAAATATAGAGAAATATAAAGAAATTGTAAAACGTTCCAGAACTTAGGTCGAAGGCATTTGATTGGGAAATGGTTTTATTTGGTTAATGCAGCATGGCCATACAAAGATTGATTTTGTTTAATACAATCATATTTACTCGATACTTGTTTTTTCATAGATTTATGTAACGAGGAACCTTCAACTTAATCGTGTTCCTGATTATTCGGGTTAATTCTATGGAGTACAACCGATAAATTATTTTTCCGGCCCTGACCCTTTCTCCACAACTTACATAACTGAGCTCCAGGAGAAACGTTTTTCTACCGGAAAAAATACGTAGTGTATTATTTCTGACGTAGATTATCATAGAGGAACCTCAGCTAAATCAACGGTGACCATCTTGCGAGGTTTCCTGAAAATGTAATGTAATGTCATAAAATGTAAAGTAAACATCAATTGTCGGATCACTTAACCGAAGTAGTGCTATTTCTTTCGCTATATACTGCCCATTGTGTATATAGAATCCTTAAAAATCTATAAAAAATTTTATTTTGTGCACCATAGATTGAAAAACTGATCTTCTACAGATAAGGTACATAAATTTATGATATCTCCTCTATTTGTGCTAATAACTTTCATTTGCATAAACAGGTCTGTATTTGCTGATGATATTATTAACTTCGCGCTGTTACATAAATCTATAACGTAAGTGCGTCGTATCGAAAATTGTTAACGATCTCGGTCGGTGGAACGACGCGATCAACAGTTGGTAATCTAGCACGGACACAGACTTCAAACTGTTTCATCGTGAGGGGAGGCGGGGTGAGAACACTCCTAGTATATCTATTATAATAGATACCTGTACATTTGCAAAATGGAATCTTCGCAGGAATATTTATTAATGACGGGAGAATAAGATTTTTCTTATCACACCACTTAACTTTAGAAGTAACAAATAGAACCATGTTGTCGTTTTGCACGACAAGTCCGTCCCGAGCCTAGCTCTATTCGACTGCCTATGTTCCATACACAAAAATCTTATACAGTCCTGATTCCTTCAGTTATTTATCTACTAGGAGCGCTAGGTGTCTTCCGCTTCTTGGGCAAATGAGTCCAACTGCGCGGCAGCATCCGCACTAGACGAAATTGAATTTGAATTTAGCAAACACTCGTTAAATACTATTTCCTTATTATGAAGGTCCCCGAGCGTAATTTCTAAGAATTTTAAAACTTGTATCTCCGCTAGTTTCGTTAATTACGAAACGAAAATTGACAATAATATTATAAATAACTCAATTAACAATGTAGACTAGATAAATTTATTGGAAAATAATTTTTGTGGTCGAAAGACAATTCTTGAGCGCATCAACTTGCTGACAAAGGTCCCTGAGCGTGATTTTCAGGACTTCAAATATTTGTATCTCCGCTAGTTTTGTTTATTACAGATAAAAAATTTTTAACGCTCATAATTTCAATGTTCAACACGCATGAGTTGATTTTTTGGATTTTATTAGGTCACTTTGAATATACCACAATAATTGTTATTTTAGAGAATTTGCAAGTGTACGTATAAAGAGCAGAACATGAAAGAAAGTATCTGCATGTTTTTCGCAGAGACTATTCCGAATTCTTGATTTGGTGTTATTCTTCTCAGAATTAGTTGCAGCTTTCTGATAAAGCATGATTTTTATGTGCATCTAGCTTACAAGTCAATAATAGTATTGTAAAAGACATAGAGTTTTCCAAACTATTGCAGCTTTGTGAACAAAAGTTTATTTTATGTGAAGTCTCTATAATCATTGACCTTTTGAGATAGGAATGTGCGAATCTACAAACTTTTTTGCTATATTTGTTTACCCCTAAGAGTTTTTCAATGCCAAATCATTGTTCCGTTTTATTCTACACTTGAATTATTGGCAATATAGCACTACCCTATTGCTTCAGTGGTCACTTATGCTGTTCTGGATACCTGAATAATATGCGGGCAAGGTAAAAGTTGAATAGACAGATATATGCGCGCTACATTAGGAAAGCTGTAGTCATTTGACTTCAAACGTGAATGTCATACTGAGTAGAGTGAATACCAATAAAATGAAGAACCATTTACTCCGATATACGCTAAAAGAACATATCGGAAACTAAATATTCATTTTTTGTCGCATCAAAAAATTTGTATGTAAAAATTATTCCAATAAAATCGTAAGAAATAGGTCATGATTTCTTCCGAGAAGTATTGAACAGCAATATCGATCCTCTTAAATTTTATGAAATGTAAAGATTATTGGTTATTTTTCTTGTAAGGGAACAAATCAACGAACAGTAATCAAACACCGAGATAGATTTATGGAATTAAAAGTTAACTTTTTATTTGTATGAATAAATGTGAAAAATAATATTATTTCAGTAAAATAATGATAATTCGGATTATTTGCTATTGTTTATTATTATTTCTCGGAATATTTAGTAATCTACATTTACGTCTACCTTGTAGGATGGAGTTCTCGGACGATTTCCACGCCTATGTAATGCAAATTGCATGTACTCGGCATGTTCCATGACTTGATGGGAAGTCAATATTAGCCAATTGACCTAACGGTTTTCCGGGCAGCGCCCTTAAAAGAATGTTTATGAACCTGGGAAGTTCATATTAATAGCCTGATTACTTGAAACATAGTACACTTAGTTTCACACAGTATGGCATATTGTGTTGTTTCGGGGAGCAAATCTGGATATAAAGTGAATCATAAAAAAGCATTTCGTTCTATGTGCCAAAAGATACCAATCTCCGGAAATAATAGTCGGTCTTATGCCACCTTTACTCGGTTAATTGAATTTCCTATACGCGTAATTCCAAAATTAATCATTTAATTAAAAAAAAAAATTTTTTTTATGCATTTTCATGTAGAAGAAGGAAAAGATAATGGAAGGAAAAAAATAAATATTTTTTTGGGGCATGTCAATTAGAGAGAAGTGCTACTCCATGCCAATTTTGGTGGAACAAAATTTACGAGAAATTTGATGATTCACATAGCACAGCAGCGGACCATCAAGTTGACAAGATACTTAAAGTCGCAATAATACCGTCATGTGAAATGCAGTTATCTGTTCCAGTCGTCTAATCGTCGAATGGAAGAGACATTATACATCAGTGTGATCACTACGAAAATGTGAAGAAAGTTTTAAAGGCCAAAGAAAAAGAAATTCTTCTACATGTACTACTAGTAGCAATCATTTGAAATTGAAGCGAGTGGATGGAGCCGACGTCATGGCTCAATTACAATAATTGAAGAAAAATAATAAAGAAATTCACATAAAAAATGAAAAATTACAAGAGGCAAATGATCAACTAAAAGCATCATTAACTGAGCTACATAATGAAATATCATTAATTAATCATGCAGTATAAAATTCTCAATAACAACAACAATAATACATCAGAAGAGCAGCAAAACATTATAAGAGAAAGTTTTAACACTTCTAAATGTAATCACCAAAATGGTGAAAGGTACTCAGAGTATTGAATATATTTATGTATTCTCATGCACATGAAATCTTCAACTACATACCGATTTATCCGAGAGAATGATATATCACCATTACCATGACCAAGTACAACAAGAGAGTATGTAGATCATCGACATTTTCTCATTTTCAACATCCAATTGATGAGAATCAAAAGATATATGTATTTTCCGACACACCACATTTGATAAAAACATGCAGGAATCGTCTTTACACTAAAGAGTCGTTAAAGGTGAGTATATGACCCATTTTAGTTTTATTTTTTCTGTCCGTAGTAACACGACCAAAAAGTGAAAACATCTTCTTGATACAAGGCTTTCAGATTAATCAATCCAAAGTAGCCTTCATAAATTGGGAACATTTTAACATGGATCATGAAGTTGAAAGATTGAAGACTATTAATAACCGTGTCATTCAAAAAATAACCGAGAATCATTTGATATTAAACAATTCCTCGAAGATGCGAGTCCGATCAGCACTTCAGGTACACATTAACACAGTGACTTTTTACCAAAATCAAAGAATTCATGATGACATCACGTAATAATTAAATTTGACTATAATTGGTGTTGACCATGTCTACAGCAAGAGAATTGAGGACATATCAGAGCTATTTTGTAAACGAAGATTTCAGTGGAATAATTGAATTTTGTGTATGGATCAACAAACTGTTCGACTGTCTCAACGAAAATCATCATGAAATTAAACCTGATGATAACAAATTTTCAGTAAGTGTTGTTTATGGAATGATATTTTTTTACTAAGTTACTTGCTTACCTCTGTTATTATTTGTTATAATAAATACTCTTAATAATGTAGATCATTAACGAAGCTTTGATGACTCTAAACAATTGGGAAAGTAATGTTAAAAATCAGACTATTGATAAACATATCTTTCTGACTACAAACGGACGATCCAAAAAAGACTCTTTGGAGGTATAATGAGAGATAATTGTATTATTACAACATCTTAAATAGGAGTTACCAGGACAAATGTGCATTACATGACTTTTGGAGATTTTTCGAGACTGTGCGACAAGCAGAAGGAGCAAATGATCATCCCGCGACCTCAACTTTTCTGCAAATATACAGAATATTATCACCTCATAGTGTTTTAAGAGCTCCGAAACCAGGTAATTGTAAAATAATACCAACTAGTAATCAACTTATTACATTACAAGAAGTTAAGATTATTAACGACACAAAGGACACTGACAAAATCAGTATCATTAAAATTTTATAGGAAAAGCTGTCAACAATAAGGAGTGGTAAGCAGAAGATGCTTTAGAAGAGCACGATTACTATTTACCAAACTTGTCAAATTCTGTTTTGTATTATTGTACAGAAGTCATATTGGCAAAAATTTTAAAATTAACCAACTGCGAAAAATGACATAATGCCGTACGGAATGCTAAACCAACAGCATTCATTGCGGAGTCATATATCGTGATTAATCAAACAGCAGATGAATGTTTTAACCACCCAAATGTAGAAACCGATAAGGTAACAAATTTTATACAGGAGGATATAGTGAATGTGTTCTGACTTGGAGGGGCCCAAGTCAGTTAGTCGGGAAATATTTAAAAATTGTGAATGCCGGACTTGTCCACCGGCGCGTCAGTCAACTCACGGGGCCAATCATCGGGAAGTATTCCCCTCATGGCCCAGAAGGCAACTCTACGGCCCTAGTGACGCCAACAAGCACGCGGTCGAGCACTTGTGGCGTCAGTTAGCTCCAGGCAAATCACGCGGTCAACGCCGTAGAAATTTACGCAGTCAATTCGCAGTTTTTGCAGTCAGCTCACCTTTCGTAGAGAAAAAATACGATCAACCAGACTCAGACAACTCTCGTGAACATTATCAAACCATCAAAATTACTCTAATCAGTGCTAGTGGTCCAGTAAAATCAGTTGTAGCGTCTTTGGGCGCGAAGCTGAACCGGCGTCGACGCCATAGTGCCTCACGGACATTCACACATACATCACACACTCGAACAACTCAGGTGTATAGTGTGCATGTTGCTATTCACTGATGGAGACTTTCTTTGGTGAAGAATCAACCATCAGACAATTCTTAAGTGTAAAAACAATTAAATTACAGTCAACTCACTTAAACTTAGTGATTATTGTTTCTATTGTTCTACTTTAAGTGTTATTGTTCAATAAAAACTTTAAGAACCATACGATTTGGTGTTTAAGAACTATTTACAGAAACCTTCCAGCATCTAACCTTTTTTTTGTGCTTTTCTCTTACCATTACAGTCCATCAGTTTTTAGTTTTCTCGTCCGGTCGACTCGGAGTCAGAACAGAATGATTGAGTTGATAGTGATATACTGACATATCCATGTAAAGACCATGGAGTCGAAATTATTTTATCAATAATTTATAATTACATGTTAATGCAGATGCATAAGGTAGCGAAGAAAAGCAATAGTGCAAAATTCGAACAGTCACAGAAGATACAGAAAACATAAAAGCATTCTAAAAATTGATCATTTGCTGTTAGTAGGTTATTACTAGATGATAAATTATCATAATTGTCCATAAAAAAGGAAATTGAAATATGTAAGAAATTATATTGTAAACTAATGACACATTGGAAAATATTAACAATAAAAAATTGGTCAGATAGAAAAAGAGTCTCTCGATGTAGTTCATGAGTATTTGCCATTAAAATTTTTAAAAACATGAATCTTTTCTCTCTCATTCTACTCTCTCTATTTCACTTAGGATGCGCATAAATCAAGATTTCTCTCTCTTATTAATAATTGAATTATTAACTGATATGAAGAAGACGCGTTTTAAAACCAAAAGCCTCGCAATTAGCTTCGCAGATTCCATTGAGTGTAACTCACACAGACATACAAATAATATCCTACATGCTCTGCTCTCTAAGACATCAATATTATCGAGAAAACACGTTTTAATACCGAGCGCTTCGCAAGTAGCTTCGCGAAACCATCTAAGTACCTTTTTGAAAAATTTATACATATTGTAAAATAAGACTCAATAACAACTTCGGAAAATTAGAAAATAAATAACATGTTTATTAATGATTGACAGCAATTAATTAAAATGAAAGAATCCGTGCGGTCAACTCAAGTCTCAGTCAAAAACTGGAGATAAACAAACCCTCCCCTCGTTGCTATAAACAATCTAATCGTCAAGCAATCGTTGTTAACTAACAAACTGTCGTTAGTCTAATAGTCATTAGATGGCGACATACAAATATTTTACAATATATTCTTACCTATTCAGCTACTCATATTTAAAACAAATATTAGAAGTGTTTGTTAAGGATGTGACGTTCGAATGAACGTCTTTCATTTATATTCATTCAAAATTATAAGAGTAGTTAAGAAGTATTGACAGATATTAATCTACTACTGAATCTTTCCTTAACACTGGTAATCGAGGTTTAGTACAACGTACCAGATAGTTGCAACATAAACCTTTATTTGAAATCATACGCGATCATTTTCATCCAGGTGACAATTGTTTTTTGTTTTCTCTAATACGAGAAAAACAGTGCTCAGCAAATGCTATGACAGCAATTATGATTTCTGCATTGGTTTTAATTAACTCGTGGACACCAGAAATAATCGATTACCTACTGATAATTGGTAATATTCTATACTAAGATGCTGTGAGTGATCTAGAGAGAAATAAGTAGGACTATCATTATTTAGTCGCAGATGAAGTGAAGAGAGAAGTTAAAGTTTCTGATGGAGTTATTGCAAATTATTCTACTCGTACGAAATATGAAAATTTGGCTAATGCTGATGTCGGAACAAATTCAAGTGATTGTTAGAATGAATTTTCTATCTATGACAGAAGTACAATATTAACAGTCAATTCGTTATTAGTAGCAACTACGTACTGATGTAGAAGGTACTACATTCTAAATTCTCATTGCTGGGATAAGTGGAGATGACCTCAGACGGGAACCTGCATATTCTGACGATCTAAGACAATCTCTCTAAGTACTGTTGTGCCATTCCTTTACCCGACATTCGAACCCAGACCATAGCAGAAGCCTTAGTCACTCACTTCATCTGCTTTTATGGTAATTCTGTTCAAACGGGGCACTTCTTTCTCCAGCAAACTTCTAGGTAAGTTAGCGAAGATCCTGCTATTTTTAACTATAATACTACGGTCCCCATAGCCACTCAGTTCACCCCGTCCGAACTCTTGTACGGTAAGGTGGCTCGTGCCCTTACTGACTTATCCGACTTCTCTAAAATGAATACCTACCTAGAGGCTTTAGAGAATCTGATCACTCGATTATCGGAAACTCGGCGCTTCGCGCGAGAAAATTCAATAAGAGCTAAAGAAAAGTCCAAAGAGCGTTCAGACAAGAACATGAGGGAACTCCACCTAGAGAAAGGCGATTTGCCTATGTGTACAAGGAACCACGAAGGGACAAACTCGACGTGTATTGCGTCGGCCCCTTTGAAATGGTAGACTTTACCGAACACGGAAATGTTGTTTTGGAAACGGCCGAAGGTAAGCGTTTTGTCAAACACCCGAAAAAACTCAACAGAAAAGTTAAGCGTTCTAACTCAAGCTTCTTCGCTTTTTTTCCCTCTCAGGAAAGATAGAGGATGTGGCAACGGGACTTCAAGCTCCAGGAGCCAGGACCCCAAGTAGTCTTAACAAGACTGCTCCCTAGAGCCGAACTAGAGGCGGGCCTCAAGAGAAACTACGCGCAGCCCTCGACTAGCCGGGGATTAGGCCCGTCCATCTGGCCTACCACGTCCCGTGTTCTGGTCGAGCGCCGTCACCCCATGCTGGCAACTCCCCGGCACGATAGGTGGGCGGACACAGAGGTCCAGACCCACGCCAGCCGCCAGGGCGAAATTATGCTCGCTCCTGCTGCCTAATGCTCGCTCTTTCCTATACTCCTATCTGCAGAAATTTACTTAACAAAAAAAGCATTTATACGTAGTTCCAGTTAATAAATAAATACCTCAGTAAACCTCATAAAATAGAGTTTTTCTGACCCGCTTCAATTTTGTGGAATATACCTCTGTACTAGGATTAGGTCAGTATACTCATATTCTACTCTCCCTCACTACCGACACTCTCTCCTTAGGTTAAGGCAAAGGGGATGTTAAAATCCTTTCTGCTTGTTATCCCCTCCGTCACTTAAGATTCTTTCGTATCATATACACACTACTTCTGGCTATCTGTTTCGGTGCAGTAAGACGTCTCTGGAATGGACTGCTCATGGAACAAGCCTGACGAGCATCAACCACTTGCCTCGGCAACCGAAAGAGGTCGGGGTTCCAGAAATGTACGGAACCTCGCTAATGGGAGAAAAGATGGCTACTGAAATCCGTAATTTTGCTCGGCCTCCGCTAGGTTCCTTTGAAGGGTCGAGCGCATTTTCCTTCACAGCCTATGCAGAACTAGATTCTTCCAGCTGGGCAACAATTAACAGCTAGCGGATGCACCACCCCTACCTAATTTCCGTCAGCCGTTTGAACACCTCGACTGGCGCCACTCCCCAAGGGCCTTAACGAAGAAAGAGGAACCCCACTCTGGAACTTAATCCATGGAAATGGAGGTGCCTCGCCCTCATCACAACAACAAAGAGGACCTCTTGACGCATCCTAGCACCCCGACGGTGATTGAGCGAGCAACCGTGGGACACCTTCCTGAATCTGAGTGCCCAGTACCTGCAGTTACTGGCTCGGGAGAGCAGCCAGAATTCTTTTAAACACACACCTCTTCCTTCCCACCACTTTCCACTGCTCCGGCGCAAGAGCCTTATCGAGTCACCTCTTCCGAACATCGCTCGGGCCTCTACTACGAGAAATTCTCCCTCATACAACTTATTAGAGAATATTGGCGTATCGTCGCCACTATAGACATCGCGGCGCTTCTTAATGGCCACCAAGAAGATATTGTAAATTTTCCTGTGCTGGTCTCTGCACCAGAAGTAGTCTAAATTTTTTGAATAGTCTGATTTTCCAAGCAAGTTGTTCTGATGGATCTTGTGTGTGCGTCTGTCCATAAGGGCGTGAGACGTCTATGCCGACATCGTTCGCGCCTTCTATGACAAAGATGTTTAGTCGAACCAACTTGAATGTATTGATGAAATCTGATGAAAGTTAGACTGCCTGATGAGTTCACAATCATCACTATAGATGATTGACTGATGAGTTATTCCATTTTTTCGGAGTATTCTGGAGAGTTCTCTGGGTTTTCACTGGAGCGTTCGACTGCGTGAGTTCTCTGCTAGAACACACGTACCGAGTTGACTGTTACAACGAGTTGTCTGTGGGTTGGCATCATCTGATGATCCCCAAAAGTTGTCCGAGTACGAGCTACGTACAAATACTAGCAGTAACCGATGAATACTGACGACTGCGGATTGTTTTTTCTGGAAACATTGCGTTCTTGAAGCTTATAGATCCTTTGAGAAAGGATATCTACCCATAGGAATCAATTAGGGCAGTCTAATTGGCGTAGACGAGTGAGCAGGAGAGACCTTGAGTATTTTAATTAGTCAGTGAGGAGAAAAATGTCAAGATATAGACGGAATACTTCCGACCA